TATATATATATATATATATATATATATATATATATATATATATATATATGCCTGCCAACCTCTTAGAATTTTAAAATCAAGTAATTTCTGATTTCATCCATGTATTTAGTAGGCTACGGTAAAACTCAAAATCTTCAGAGAAACTTTTTTTTCCCCTAGATCTAAGGAATTTCGGTGGTTGAGAAAATTTCAAGCTGGAGCCATTACATTTTAAATACACTTTTTAAAAAAAAATTTATTTATTTTATTTACTTATTTTTGGCTGTGTTGGGTCTTTGTTGCTGCGTGCGGGCTTTCTCTAGTTGTGGCGAGCGGGGGCTACTCTTCGTTGTGGTATGTGGGCTTCTCATTGCAGTGGTTTCTCCTGTTGCAGAGCACGGGCTCTAGGCATACAGGCTTCAGTAGTTGTGGCACAGGCTCAGTATTTGTGGCTTGCGGGCTCTAGAGTGGAGGCTCAGTAGTTGTGGCACACGGGCTTAGCTGCTCTACAGCATGTGGGATCTTCCCGGACCAGGGCTTGAACCCATGTCCCCTGCATTTGCAGGCGGATTCTTAACCACTGCGCCACCAGGGAAGCCCTAAATCCATTTTTTTTCTTGAAGTAGAGTATATTATAGAGAATGACTGAGCTTCAGAACAGTTCCTTTAGGTTTTTATGTTTCTTATAGAGTCCAAGATGTATAGATTCTAAAAGCACCTTCTTAAAAATAATTAGATTACTCTCTTGCACTCTGGACAAAGTGCAAACTTCTAAACATGGTTTGTACCTTCCAGCCCAGCCTCTTGCTTCTCTCTCTTCTCTGCTCCTGCCACCGTGCATCTTGCATTCCACACAGCAGCCACTCTGACTTCCTCTCAGTTTCCGCTGTGTGCTGGGACCTCTTCACCTCCAGCCTTGGCACATGGAGGTCCCACTACCATGGACTCACCTCCTCTCTGCCAACTCCTCTTCCTTATCTGGCCTCTGCTTAGTCCTCAGGTCTCTGCTTAGATGTCATTTCTCTCATGTAGTCTATCCTGACCGGTCCAGAAGGCCAGGTTACATGACCTTTCTGTCTCTGCCATCACTGGTTTGTTCTTTAACAGAACATTCTTAACACTTTATATTATGATTGAAGTTCAGTGGTTGGTGTCCTTCTTTAGATGGCAGTCTCAGCAAGGTCATGGTGAATCTTCTTAATGACGGTAAACCTAATACCTAATACAGTGCCTGAGCCAGTACGTGCTCAGAGAATATTAATTGAATGTTGCTGGGTCAAGGACGACTCCTATCTGATGTTCTTGTCCACCACAACATAGAGAAGATGATGTTACTGATCCACCAACCAAAGGGCATAATCTGGAATAATCTTATTCCCCAGGAACACTTGAGGCCATAAGAATTGAAGTGGTGAAAGAGTTGGGTATAAAGCATGGTCCTCCTTTGTACAGAAAGTAATGATACTCGGTGACCAAATTCATGACCCTAACTAAACTTATTATTCTTAAGCTCTAAATAACTGAAATAGGGTAACAGAGACTTTGTCAAATGATCAAAAAGGATATGAACACAACTCAGAAAACAACAGACCTCTCTCTGATTTTGATAATTTAAGTTTCTAAGATGTGCTCCTTCTAATCTGGAGATGCAGGGAGAACAGTCCAGCAGACCAGACCCTGCTCCCCTGCCCAGTACTCGTTGCTCAGCAGCACACCCACGGATTGGGGAGTTCCTCTTTGAACAAACATTTGATTTGGTCCAGAGTATTTCTCAGCTTGTACATTTTGCCCTCTCTCCCCTCTCTCAAAGGTTGTTCTTGATATTAATGTCCTTGTCCCTCATTTTTTTAAATTGAAGTTTAGTTGATTTACAATATTGTGTTAGTTTCAGGGGGACAGCAAAGTGATTCAGTTATATATGTATATTTTTTCAGACTATTTTCCATTATAGGTTATTACAAGATACTAGATACCTGTATATCTTGTGCTATACAGTAAATCCTTGTTACATACCTATTTTATGTATAGTAGTTTGTATCTGTTAATGCCGTACCCGTAATTTATCCATCCCCCACCCCCTTTCCCCTTTGGTAACCATAGTTTGTTTTCTACGTCTGTGAGTCTGTTTCTGTTTTGTATATACTGATACATTCTTTTGTATTATTTTTAGATTCCACGTATAAGTGATATCATATAATATTTATCTTTCTCTGACCTACTTCACTTAGTATGATATTCACTAGGTCCATCCATGGCTGCAAATGGCAATATTTCTTTTTTTATGACTGAGTAATAATATTCCATTGTATATATGCACCACATCTTCATAAGTCTGTTGATGGGCACTTGGGTTGTTTCCATGTCTTGCCTACTGTACATAGTGCTGCTGTGAACACTGGGGTTCATGTATCTTTTAGAATTAGAGTTTTCATCTTTTCCAGATATATGCCTAGGAGTAGGATTGCTGAATCATATGGTAGCTCTATTTTTAGTTTTTTAAGGAACCTCCGTACTGTTTTCCACAGTGGCTGCACCAATTTACATTCCCCCTAACAGTGCATGAGGGTTCCCTTTTCTCCACGCCCTCTCCAGCATTTATTATCTATAGACATTTTGACGACGGTCATTCTGACTAGAGAGAGGTGATACCTCATTGTGGTTTTGATTTGAATTTCTCTAATAATTACACATGTTGAGCATCTTTTCATGTGCCTGTTGGCCATCTGTATGTCTTCTTTGGAGAAATGTATTATTAGGTCTTCTGCCCATTTTTTGACATTGAGTTGTATGAGTTGTTTGTGTATTTTGGCTATTAACCCTTTGTCAATCGTGTCATTTGCAAATATTTTCTCCCATTCCGTAGATTGCCTTTTTGCTTTGTTGGTGGTTTCCTTTGCTGTGCAAAAGCTTTCAAGTTTGATTAGATCTCACTTATTTATTTTTGCTTTTATTTCTTTTGCCTTGGGAGCCCCTGTCCCCTGTCTTAAACGTGGTCTTTTATTTCTATTTATGATCTTCCACTATCACCTTCTTGCTTCAAGCTTCACTTTTGCCTTATATTGGTCACTGTCAAACCACACTGGCCTCCACATTCCCAGGTCTGAGACCTCTCGTTGCTGCTATTCCCATGGCCATTATCAATGCTCCTGGCTGACTCAAGGTCTCAGGATGTGGCTTTCAAATACCAGCGCTCCCAGGAGGATTTGGGACATTGGGGTATGGGGGTGGACTCAGTAGGAACAGGGAATGTTAACCTATTACTATTTCTCTGGCATACATGAATATAGCAGAACTGGAGAGTTTAGGAAAATGGCCACATAGCAGGTGTAATTTTCCTAAGGCTACAGACTAATGTAGAAATAGAAAATCACTCAGCTCCATCCCAGCACCCTCAGCTCACCAGTGCATTCTCCTTTATGGAGCTGGATGAAGACTTCTGCAAGGGGTGTTTTTCAGGGCCAGCCTACCGCAAAGTATTGCTGAGTCTTCAGGACAATAGAGGAAATTCTTCAACTAAAAGCATCAGTGCTTTGGCTGTATTTACACTGATATTACATGTGCAAATGCCCAGCAGTCCATGGCTGCTCTCTTACCTTGTGTTAATTGGTAATACTGCAAGGCACCGATTCCACCTTGCTCCTCTGCAGTCCAGAGCACCAAACGCAGAGTCCTCTTTGGACGCAGCCCTGGGAAAAATAATAAAATAGAACAAGTGATTCTTCAGTTGCTTTTGAATTTTTGAAAAATGGCAGGGCCTCTTATCTGCATTCTGGAGGCAGGAGGGAACCAGAGGTGTGCGCATTCATCTCTAGCTGGTGTGGCTGCCTGATTTAGGGTGTGGCTGCCTGATTTAGGGTGTGGCTGCCTGATTTAGGGTGTGGCTGACACAACAAAGGAGTACCCTCAGGGCTGATCTCCAGGGCAGGTTAATGAAGAAAGGGGTTGTGATAAATGGGGTCTGCCAGCCAGGAACTGTGAGCCTCTATTCATATCCTTAACTGGACAACCTGCCCAGTAGGACCCAATGGATGGCCAAGTTCATTGGGATATTAGATTGCATCCAGAAGATGCAGTTAGGCTCTGGACAGATCATGAGGCCTTCCAATGATTAACTGAAACCCAATCATTTGCCTCTACTTCAAGACAAGGTGTGTCGGGGGTTGCTTCTTAGTCCAAATCCACAAGTATAGCTAGCTGCCCATGCTGTCCTTAGTAACGTAATGATTGTGAAGCAGATGCAATGTTTATGTTTGCCCAGGGTCATGTTCCCCTCCTTCTTGGAAATATAAGGTCATTCCCTTAAGGTCAATGAAAATGAATTGAATGAGAATGACATTTTATTCATCTCATTACTGCACAAACAGCTTGGTGGCAATTTCATTGACTTGGGAAATACAAACTTGTATCCTGCAGTTATTAAAGCTACTAGCAGATCTGGCGTATCTAGAACCATGTTTTTGTTTTTGTTTTTTTTGCGGTACACGGGCCTCTCACTGTCGTGGCCTCTCCCGTTGCGGAGCACAGGCTCCGGACGCGCAGGCTCAGCGGCCATGGCTCACGGGCCCAAGCCGCTCCGCGGCACGTGGGATCCTCCCGGACCGGGGCACGAACCCGCGTCCCCTGCATCGGCAGGCGGACTCTCAACCACTGCGCCACCAGGGAAGCCCCTAGAACCATTTTTGAGTGACTGTGTCCGCTCCGTAAAAGCTCACTACAATGGTCAAACAGTATGCTAAAAGTTCCACTTTTTGACCAAGAATTAAAACTCATTTCTGATTTGGACCTGATGATGTGGTTTCTGAGAAATAACAAAGGCAGAAACATGTGAAGCTGGGCTTAAATCTTATTAATAAGATCTCTCCTCTTCCCTCACTGCAGGGAAACCATAGGGAAGGACTTTGAAGGGCTCTGAGATGGACGCACTATAGACGTCGAGTATAACCAACTGCTGCCACCCAGGCACGTGGCCTTCGTCAAGGGAGGCTGCTGGTCGACTTCAGCCTGGATGATAAATGCTCCTGGGAAATGGAGCTCTGTCCTGCCTCCTCTGGACACCAACAAGTATTCTGCTTTCACAGGTCTAGTGCCAAGGCATTGAAAAGGAGCTACGTTTCTCACTAAATTGAATATCGTGAAGCTACTTTACACTCGAGCATTTTAACATAATTAAAAGAGCGCAGGTTTAGGAGGCAGGCTGACCTGAGTTCCAGTTAAAGCCTAGACAAGCGATGTCCACATCCAATTGTTCAGCAAATCCCATTGGTGTTTTCTTCTAAGTCCATCTAGAATCCAACTTTTCACCTCTGCTACCACGCTGGTTCAAGCCCCACCTTCTTTTGCCTGGACTGTTGCAAAACAGTCCTCCTAACTGGTCTCCCTGACTCAGCCTGTGCCCCTCTGCAGCTGATGGTCTGCACTGCAGTCAGCAAGACTCCTGTAAAACTTATACCAGAGCATGTCATTTCTCTGTTCAAAACCTCCAAGAGCCATACTGTAAGCTCCTCAACGGCAGGTATTTAAGCTTTGTGATTCAATGCGATGCCCTCAATGCCCAGACTGTTTGGCACATTATTAGGTGCCCAATAAATAGGTCTTGAATGAATAAATTAATCCAAAGTGTGGTGCCTCACTAGCAGAATTCAAAGCCCTCTACCACTGTCTGTCTCAACCTCATTTCCTAAAACTTTCCTGCTAGCTCATTTCCAGGCAAAATGTTGTAGTTGAAAAAGGCGGACAGATCTGGTGAGCCCTGCTATTAATAGGCACTAGCTGTGTAACCACTGGGAAATAGATCTGCCTGAACTTCAGCTTCCTTATCTAAAGAGTGGAGGGAATATTACATGCTCATAACATAATAACTTCCCCGGGTGGTTGTGAGGATGAAATGAGGTGTGATGAAGACAATCTGTGTCTGCCATGCAACAGACATTCAATGAATGAATTATAAAACTACGTAACGGATAGCCAGGCACAGAGCACACACTTTTACCCATAGAGAGAAGGGGCATCTAAATACTCAGGACAATCTTCCAAAGTCATCTGAGCCCCTGCTAAAGAAGAATCGTGAAGTACCCACTGCCTGCTGCACAGAGTCAAACCACCGACTCACATTCATAGCACAAACTTAAACTGATGCTGGATTAAGAAATATAATCAGTCTATATCTAAAGACCATAGTCACTGGCTCCTCTAACAGAAATGTGCTTAGTGTCAATTCCAATCAAATGACATTTTGCTTGCAACATAGAAAAAAAATTTAAAAAGATAAAGTGCTGCAAATGAAAATCCTGAACATGTTTTTAGACCCATAAAGAAGGGGAAAAAACTTTCTGTTTACATATCTCCTCATTTACCAGCAAAACAGTACCAAGTTATTAAAATGATGGAATTCTCTAAATAAGGATCAAGGGACAGTTAGCACAAGGGAGAGAAAAATCATTTTTTAAAAGCAAATGCCCTGAATATCCCCATAGATTCGGTGTTCTACTTGCAAATCATTACCGTACAGGATTAGTCTCCTTCACATTTCAATCAGCCAGATAACCAATGATGTTATATTAAGATAACAAAAAAGTAATCGGTTTGAAGTGAAGAATGCTAAGGCCTCCAAAAACAACAGCATAGCTGGTGCATGCCTGGCCCTCAGGAGACAGAGCCACCTCCCAACCCTGGAGAAGTTCAGTCCCCATCCAACTCCACATTCAAGGCTAAGGCCCAAACAGAAGAGGTTAGGAAACCAGTGGTTAAGCAAATACCTGACTGAGCTGCGAAGTCTCTTCTCCACTCTGACATTCTGATTGTCCCTAGAACCTAAGAGAAATGCATGGGACTTCATTCAGTACTAGACCCTGACTTTAGTGTGGAGTTGGAGCCCCCAGGCCACCTGAGTCCACAGACAGGCAGCATGGGGCACAGAAAGGTGCTGGCTGTGGAATCTCAATAAACATTGCTTGATTCCCTGCTCTGCCACCTCTGGCTCTTTGACTTTAGATGAGTTGCCCAATCTCTCTGAGCCTCAGTTTCCTCATCTACACAATAAGGAAAAGGGGAATGACCTCATGACTTTGTTAAGAAAATTAGGAAGCATGGTTCCTGGCGCATAGTAGGCTTTCAAGAATTGACTGTTAGCTTCAGTCTACATCACTCCACGAACTTCAGTCTGTGCCAGTGATTTCCCAGGAGAGAACTAGGAAGGAGGCATCTTCCTCATTCTTCTTCTCTAGGAACCGTAGAACATCTTTGTTTACACATAATGCTTATGCAGCCAAGGGAGAAACACAAATTTCTTCCAGCTCATAGAAAAACACATAACCTCTGTCAGCACGGAATAGGCCCTCATTCCAACACAGAGCATATCCAAATCCAAATGAATAGAAACTGTTTCCTCACTTTAAAAATCGAAGGCCAATCAGAATTTTTAGTTTCTGGATAAAGTAAAAAAGCTTAATAAATCTGAAAACTGAATAAAGTTGATATAAAGATGTCTGCATTTATCATTTTAAAATAATAGAATTTATTGTGTATCTCAAATCCAAACTGGCTTCAAAGCTAGGCATTTTAAGTATATAAAGTAACAAAAATAACAACAACAACAATAATAAAACAATAAAATGACAGCAACACAACAAAGTGATACAAGGTCAAATGCAGGGATCTCATATCTTGTAGTGAAACGAGGGCAAATGAATAGCTCCATAGTAATCCTAGCTCACCGCTGTGGCCCTGGCTCAGTGGTTTACAGCACCAGCCTAAGGCAAGCACATGAAATAAACCTTAGAATTGGAGGTGAGAGGGAAGACCCCGGGCTGAGCTGGCTAGGAGTCAGGTCTCATTGAGGTTTTGTCAGAAGATAGGAAATTAGTTCCCCCATAAATGTAATGAAACTGCCCAGAGATCTCTTGACCTCCCAGAATTTTTATTAAGAACTTCAGATAGCACAACAAACTTTGATGGCATTACAGTTTTTCTCTAAAAGAACATAAACTACAGAAAATATGTCAGAGTTTTGTCTTTGTTTATGAAATAAGACACAGGCATTTCACTTTCATTTTACTGAGGAGAGTAATAATGCTATTGGGAAAATAGTGCCTATGAGAAAAGGTGAAAACAATCTGGCTGGAGTTTATTTTTTGTCATTATCAAATTTAAAGATGAGTAGTCTGAGAGTTAAAGCAATAAGTTGAAAAGGTCAACTGACTGTCCTGCACTTGCACTAAGAGTGGGCCAAAATAAAATAAACTTAGACTAATCCAGCCTTGTAGATAGATTTCCCAAATCACGAATTCTAAAGAACACTATTTGTTAACAAAGTGTATTAACCCAAATGCCTGTTTACTGCTCCATTTCAGTACTGCCAGGACTATGTATAAGTACTCTTCTCCGTTCTGACACCAATTTCTTTTTTTCTAAATTTTATTTATTTATTTATGGCTGTGTTGGGTCTTCGTTTCTGTGCGAGGGCTTTCTCTAGGTGCGGCAAGTGGGAGCCACTCTTCATCGCGGTGCGCAGGCCTCTCACTATTGCGGGCTCTCTTGTTGCAGAACACAGGCTCCAGGCACGCAGGCTCAGTAATTGTGGCTCACGGGGCTAGTTGCTCCGCGGCACGTGGGATCTTCCCAGACCAGGGCTCGAACCCATGCCCCCTGCATTGGCAGGCGGATTCTCAACCACTGCGCCACCAGGGAA